ACGAAAACAGTAAGAAAGCGACAGTAACACAAGAGAGGACCATACATGTCAAATCTGACAAGAATCATAAGTGCGACATAGCTAAGCATCACGCAATCGTGCACTTGTTCACTTCATTTATTCGCCACTCAACTGTTTGGCGACTGACGCGCGTACATTCCGTGCTGGAATAGAGAGTGAGAACTATGGGAGGGACACTTTGACAGACCCAAGACACTGCGTTTACGTGACATTGAAACAGTTGACACTTGGAGCTGACAGTCGTCACAGCCGAAGAGTAGAACAGAACGGAGCGCTGCTTGATTCACTGAAAGTGAAAGCTGTAGAGATTACGCGGAAAACTCGTCATGAGTCGAGGAAAGAATAGACACTATTATTGAAGGTTGAAAGAGGTGTTCTCAAGAGTAGAATAAGAGTACATTGAAGAAAGATTGCTCCTTTGTACCGACAGTCTTCAGCAAAGAGGATGGGAAAGCCGTGACTGAGATTACTTGTAGTTGGTACTCGGTGACAGTAAGCCCACTTCAAATATACACATTCAGAGTGAGGAATCAATCAACCCGAAGAGATAGACACAGACACTCATTTCAACTATATTGCAGAGAATTTGGTATCTATGAAACGACCAGAACTGTGAAACACGACCGTCAATTAATGCATAGTCAAGAAAACAGGAGTAAACAGTCGAACCACAGTGTATTTCCCTAAAATATCGGGTTTTAATGCAGTTCGGCAGATGATGGACATTTCAGTCTAACAGATGAACGCAGTCTATTGAGAGAAAAACAGGGCGAAAACAGTTAACCCACATCTTATCTGGTTGTCAATGGGAGGTCCGAAAGTAAGCACAGTTTCGAAGTGTCAAGACAGGCACGCTTGTCAAACTTCGCACAGACATGTGCTAGGGCCACAGCTGTCAATGTGCGATCGTATTTTCGGACATTCGGAACTGGATAGACGAGTAAGCAGGATGGCGAGAGGTACTATCAGGCACTGTACGATTTTCCACTACGAAAAAGGATGCGGGTTTTTGCGAGAAATAGGATTTATTAGACTGTCAATCCAGGAATGGCTATCGTTTATTATTGTTGGCTGACGGGTTAACATTGGGTTAGGAAGGTGGCGCAGACCAAAGGAACGTTGAGAAGTTGTATACATACACGTACGAGTGTCCGAAATTGCACTATCAGGCAAGAAACAATAGGTTTCGCTATACTGGGCAGAATCATCCGTAAATGTGGTTGGGCTGTAGGCGAACAGTGAACTTCTCAGTACTGGCAGCAGCATCTGAGCCGAACGAACATGAACAAATGATAAGTATGAATAACAAAAGTAAACGATAGATTCTTCAGGTTCACATCCTTTTGTTGGGACAGCTTTATGGCCTCGATATAACGGGTGGGTAATAGCAACAAATCTTCTAGTCATATTAGGTTTGATGGTTTCCGAAGACGAAGCCAGTGAAACGGTCCTCAGTGCTCAAGAGTACCACCAAGTATTCATATCTGTGTAAGATGTATGACGCAATTACCCATGTCGGAAGCAGTTGACAGTACTACGCACCAAGGTTTTTGTGAGTTATCAGGTTAGATTCGTTTAGAACGTTCAAAACCAGGGATTTGGTTTTTCATTTAGAAACTGGTTACAAAAAGAGTTCACAAACATAGTGTGGACACTTTCGTTGCGTTCTGTTGCGTTTCAGAAAGTAGCTTTTCAAGAATCGATCAGTGCACTGAAAACTCAAGCTTAAGGTCGTCTAGTTGTCAGCATCTGAAGTCACCGGCTGGTGGAGGACAATTAAACTTGCTTTCGAAAAAGTTTGGTGACAATCGGTAGATTTATTGCTGGGCAACGTTTCGCTTTTGACACAAAAGCTTCGTCAGGCCAAGTGACCAGGTTCCGAGGTTGATCGAGATTTAAGGTGGAATGAGAACCAATCAGCTAAGTCAAGCTGTTGGGTGTCGGCCGAGGGATTTTTAGTGTGTTAGAGTGGTTGAACAAGTGTTGGGTTGGTGGGGAAACCTACATGTGTTTGGGTCCTGCCTAGGGTCTAGTTCTTCTGGTTCGGTTCATTTGATGGTTCCTCTTGAACTTCGTTTGAACCTTCTGT